CCCCCCTTCCATTGTTACTCTCATTTTCATACGATCGATACCCAAGCATGTGCTGATGCCCCCCCTGGTCCTTCTCCGTGCTGGCTTTTTGATTTGAAACAACTTGGAAGGCAAATTGTTGGAAGGAATTCGCCCCACTCAAGTCCGAGCTGCGAGGATTTGGTTTCTTTGTTTTCGTTTTATTTCCCTGACAAACTGTCGGCTAAAACATACGGTTAGATTTATATATATATACACACACACACATATAATTCAGCATTCTGTGTTTTACCAGTGGGTTTGCCACTTATTTCTGTCTCCTGAGGAGGCTGAGGAAAACGCACCTCGGCTTCTCCGTCTCTTACGGGATCGGTCTGTGTAATCGATTAATAGTTCGCACTGGCAATTAAAAAGGAAGAAAAGAAAAATAGTCAGATGGCGACAGACTGGGGAGTTGTATGGCTAGTTATGCAAGCCGACCTGTAATGTGATACTGTATGAAATATTATGCATGCCAAGCTATTTTTTTCCTTTAATAACTATTTTGTTTCCCTCCTCTCTGCCCACTGCTAAAATGAATACCGGGTCCATCATTGTTTCAAAAGGTTTTAATTTCTTTTTCTGAATATTAAGGGGGGAAGGACCTTATAAAACTCAGCCTTGATGGAAGGTCAAGCTTTAATCGTACGTTTTAGGGTTCAATCAGATGTAACTGAACCGACCAGCTCGGGGCAGGTGATGTCCCCGCAGGGAAAGCCAGGTCCTGGAGCTGCTGGGGTACGTGCCTGCCGACCAGTTCCCAGGGAAGGAAGAGCGATCTAATTTTTACTATTTCCTACGCTTTGCATTATATTTGGAGCAATCACACGGTTTCTTGTTATGAAATCGATCGCCGAGATGCGGCGGAGCTTCAGCTTTGATATGAAACCTGAGAAGAAGGGTCAGGGGCGGATTATAACCTCTCCAACGCTTTTTTTGTTTGCCTTTTTTTCTTTTTTCTTTTTTTTTTTTTGTTTTTTTTCTGCTTTGGCCTGAAACTTGGCTCTGGGCATCAGCCTGCAGAGTTGAAGTCAGGACGCGGAAAGCCTCAAAATCGCTCGAGAATGAAATATATATAAAATATATATATATAATGTATCTATATTCCGGGTTCCTGAGAAAAGTGCTCACTTGCAGGGATGCTTGGTTCGACGTGAACCCCGTTTCTGGAAGCTGTTTTTTTTTTGTGTTTTGTTTGGTTGCTTTTGGTTGTTTTTTTCTTTCAAACTGCTCTGAAATCCCTCGTCTCACTCCGAGAGGTCTTCGCCAGCTGTTTTCTTTGCATATCCGTCAAACACCCCAATTTGGGGCGAAAACTCTAAAGCCTGGTCCCCGAGCAGTGTAAAAAGGACCGGGAAGCGTCGGGGTTGGGGGCGTCGGTGCCCGGACGGGACCCGCCGGCCGCGGGGGGAGCGGCTGGGGTGGATTTCAGCCTTTTCATGCGCAAAGGAGGTGACTTGGGGCAATGTTTCTTCCTCGGGGCGCAAACACTTGATTTGATAACCCTTCAGAGCCTGGCTATCCCTGGAAGAAAGCGGCCAGACCGTTTCCCCCGCCCTATCCAGCTCCCCAGATCTCCCAGTGTTACTTACTGGAATAAAATCCTGACTCACTACAGTCATATCAGAGTAGATTGTAATCCAACGCGAAACTTAACACGCCTGCCACTCTCCACATGCCTTTTCTTTGGAGTAACATATGAGATTATTATACTTCTGATTCTACTAAATATTCTTTTCTTGAAGTTAAGGAACTGGCAGGGCTAAATGATCAATCGGATTTTTAAAACGTGTTTTGACATTAGTTTGTTTGTTTTTTAAAGACGTGCTGATTATATCAATAAACAGATTTTTTTTTTCATACACTGTATTTGTAACTTATGATCATAGTAAAATATTAAAAGGTGCAAGACGTGAATTAATCTAAGAAAAAGTGCTTACTTATGCCTTATTCTGTACATGCAGGAACTGCTTTATAGTGGCTTATTAAAAGTATGTGCTGAAAGTAGGAACACATACACCTCAGGTTTCTTTACCTCGTAGCTTTTTAAATGACGCTTTTCACTGTAACTGATGGCAAGAAATTTCTGCAGGATGCAGAGAAAAACTCGCAGAAGACGTAGTCACTGATGAACGCACATTGAGGATTTCAAAGCAGGCAAAAAAAACCCCCCACCCAAACCCAAGCCAAACCCCGAATCAAGACAGCGTATTCCTCGCAGTTTTCTTCCTTGTGTGTATTTTTATTAAACAAATCAAAGAGGTAAGAGTCACGCTTTGTGCTTCTTCTGCAAACAGAATGCTATAAGAAGAATGTTGGCAGACTGTAAAGCTCGAAGTAGTTTCGCAAAGGCTGTTTGCGACATATAGAGACATACGTTGCTGCTTTATAGATCAAAGCAACCTCAGAATAGCTTTAAAATAAATCCAGTTATACTACAGCTGTAATATTATTATGCAGCATAAATCCTTGTCTGTTGACATTTATTTAATGAATGTTGCTACAACAGCTTAGCTAGATGGCACTCCAGAGGCGAGGCAAAGGAAAACCTTGCCAGACTACTCCAAAGATAACTTGTGTTTATTGGATGCTAATAAAAATAATTAGTCAAAGGATTTTTATTTTCTTAAGCAAATCAAAGGAAAATCAAAATACTGTCTGAGCTGACCTTCTGAAGAAAATTCCTGGTGTAGCTGCCGTAAGATGTTATTAATTACACTTTAAATGAAAATGATCGATATGCTGAAAAGCACCTTGTTAAATGGCTACTTTGCAAATGGTACATTGCTCACCATGGCCTATAACTTTTCTCGTAGGCATGGGTCTAAAATATTCATGCAAATCAATACTTGATAAATCTCATAGGTGCGCGCTGGCTCCACCGTTGAGCAATATATTTGGGTCGATCGATTTTTATTTATTTCTTTCTTTTATATTGCATTATGTTGGAATAGTCTGTCTCTGCCCCTTGTGAACATCTCAGCCGTGGGGAGGGGGGGGCGCGCCCCTCTCTCACCATCGATCGGAGGGAGACTCGCTCCAGACTTCAGCGGACTCGCAGGATTTAGTGCTCTCAGCTTCAAATTAGATCCAGGCAATTTTCTTACATTTCCCGTCCCATTCCCGATGAATGTAACTTTATGGCGGATTTCTTAATGCTTCGTTTAACTACCTCGAGTTTCTCTATTCTTCTTACAGATTCTACGTTTTAATTTCTACGTAGTAAGGTACATGAATGTCTCTTAAAGAATCTCCTCTCCTCTCCTCTAACACTAGTCCACTGAACAGCCGAGAAATTTATCCAGAAATCCCTTCTAGGATTTTCCCGCACGCCTCTCGTATCAAGTGCAGAGGTTGCAGGAAGGCGATTTAGGGGAGGACTTTGAACTGACCTCAGAGGGAAACAAAAGGTCTCGGAAAAGGGATGCTCTGTCTCGGGGTCACAGCGCAGCCCGATCCGCCTGTGCCCCGCACCTCTGAGATCAAGGAGTCGGTTTGGGGCGCCCGACTCCCCCCTCTCCAAAGCCTGTTTGAGTGTGACACTTGTAGCTGCCTTCCTGTGGGACTCCGGGGAAAGCCACTTTCCAGCCTGTGAAACCGCTTTTTCTCCCCTCTCTCCCTGCCCGAGACCCCCGGCGCAGGAGAGGGGGGTCCCCGCTCCCCGAACCGCTGCCTCCGGCCGGGGGGGGGCGGCGGGACGGGGGCGCCAGGAAAGGGGGAGACCACAATGATCGCCGGCAATTTACACCCAGCTACTGCTGAACCGCAAAATCGAGTTTATTTTAGGGACCCGCAGCGCTAAGATAGCCAAAGGCGGCCGGGTGTTTTGAGGGACGTTTCAGGCAGCCCTCGGAGCCGCTGTCCCGGGCTCGGAAACCGCTGCGAGGTGCCGGTGTGACCGCAATTACTGGGGGCTTATTTGCAAGGGAACGTGAAATCCAGAAAGGGCCTATTTTATCCTCGGGGGGGGATAAAACAGGTCCGATTCCGTAAGCCAGGCAAAACCGGACTCTCTGGCGTTTCTGTAGAATCCAATCAGATTTAATTTCCATCATAGTTGGATTTCGAGTAGGAGACTTTTTGTGCTCTGAGCTTAAAGGGAAATAATGATATACGTGCCGGGTGATTTCTGGTACAAAGCTTTCCCAGGTAAAACGTTTCCATTCGGCATAATGTTAGCTTTTAATGCAAGAATATATTATTCAAAGGCAACGGTTCGCTCCCTCTGCGCTGCGCGGTACCGGCCTCCGTGTCGCGACAGGACCAGACGACAAGATTCCTCCCAGATGAAGTACAAATGAAGAGCGGGGCTGAGAAGTACCGGTGTCGGGAAATCTCTACCTATTGTCAGGAAAATTGTCGCTTTTAAACGGAGGGGTTCAGCACCTTCTCCGACGGCCTTTCGCCTTGTCCGACGGCCTTTCGGAGCCCGGGCAGGGAGTTGCGGTGGTGCGGAGCAGTGCTGCGGGGTACGGGATGCGCTGGACCCCCACCTCGAGCAGCGAGACCCCCCCCCTTTCGCTGGCTCAACCCCGGGCAGCTGATCCTGGGAG